GTAAAGGATCTAGTAGGTTGGGTAGCTTTTGCTATCTTTTTTTCCATTTGGATTTTTTATGCTCCTAATGTTTTAGGGCATCCCGACAATTATATACCTGCTAATCCGATGTCCACCCCGCCTCATATTGTGCCGGAATGGTATTTCCTACCGATCTATGCCATTCTTCGTAGTATACCTGACAAATCGGGAGGTGTAGCCGCAATAGCACCAGTTTTTATATGTCTGTTGGCTTTACCTTTTTTTAAAAGTATGTATGTGCGTAGTTCAAGTTTTCGCCCGATTCACCAAGGAATCTTTTGGTTGCTTTTGGCGGATTGCTTACTACTAGGTTGGATCGGATGTCAACCAGTGGAGGCACCATTTGTTACTATTGGACAAATTTCTCCTTTTGTTTTCTTCTTGTTCTTTGCCATAACGCCCATTCCGGGACGAGTTGGAAAAGGAATTCCTAATTCTTACACGGATGAGACTGAGCACACCTGATCAATGAAAAATTCTGACACCAAGAATTGACAAATGAGTATTACACCAAGAATTGACAAGCGGATGAGTTCTCTAGTTGGCTATGTTGATATAGCTTAGATAGGGAAAAGAGACTGATTTTCGTACGCAAAAGCCCGCTATTAGTTGAGTGTCCCAGTCACCTTCCAACTCCAACCCGAGTGAAAGCAATTGATTGGATTGAGTCAGCTGACCCACCACCTGTCCGGTCTAAGCTACAGTTGAACCGGTTTCTTTTCTTTATAGTAGTGACCATAGGCGGTAGGACAGCGACGAAACCGATAGTACTGAGAGTCGAGTTAAGAAGTTCAGATTTCATAAGCAAAGAGAGAAGGATCAACCCTCCAACTAGCCATCCTTCCCATTCCGCAAGAAAAGAGAAAGAGAAAGGAGAAAGAGTCAAGCTAAAGATCTCAGTCTAGTAAAGCTAAAACTGACCTCTACGCAAAGGTTGCTTACTACGGCCTTGTGGGCAGAAGAAGCAGTTTCATCTCAATCCGGCGCTTTCTAAGGGAAGGCTTTAGCTTTCCAATCGTAGGCCTGGGCCTTCTTGACCCTTTCTCGGAGAGGCAACCGTCTTGTCTTAACTGTCCCGAGCTACCGTTGTGGGTTGTGCTCAGTAAACGAGTTGTCCTAAATGCCCCAGCAGTCGCAGTAAGCTCAGGCGAAGTTTCAAGCAAGTTCCTCGCATCTCACCTAACCACTCTATTTCTCCTAGAAGGCAACGTGATAAGCAACTTGACTTCTTTGATCACTTGAAAGAGCGGGGTATCAGTCAAAGAAATGTTCATAATCAGCTTTCAAATAGGCCCAGGTAGCTTGCTTCTTTTATCTATCTGCTCAGTCTCAGTTCTAAGACAGGTAAGGTTAGTTTACTTCTCGACCAAAGGGAGAGGCAGTGAAGTAGGGTTAGGGAGTGAAGTACTCTAGTAGCTCGCCACGTGAAAGCTATAGATGTTGTTGTACTTGATTCACCTACGTAAATAGAAAACTTGCTTGGGTAAGGGCTTTCTTCTACTGTTATAGGGCGGAAGGCCTTCTCCTTCATCCCTTGCTTCTTTGATAGTGCTTTCTCTTTCTTTTGAGTGAAGGCAGCATAAGTGCATACACCAGCACCAGGGCTAGACTTTGAATGAATCACTAACTTACTGGTTTGCTTAATATAACCTTCCTGACAGGCTTACTACTACAGCTACATAGCTGACTGAAATGATTTCGAGTCTCCTTCCTTACGAGATATCATCTATCCTATCCGATTTCGATTTTGATATCTAAAAAAGAATCGATTTCATTCAACAACGTTTGATTCAAAGAACTGCGCTTAGCCCCCGCTCATGAAACAGCTCTGCTGCAATGGATGGCAGAGGGTCCGTAGTACCCAAAGCACTGGAGTGATCCAGTAGCCGGGAAGGGGCCTAGAAGTGCCTACTACTACACCACACTACACTTGGCTCTACACATTTACAGAGCTAACCCTTGTCCAGTGCCTGGCAGAGCTAAGGGGCTTCAATCCTTATTCCTTATCCCCATCTTCGCCCAGGCTAAGGAGGCCTTACTTATTCAGGGGGAGAGTGGAGCCTCGAGAAGCACTGTTGAGAGGCTGCTCGGCAGCCCCTCTTCATTCTCTACAGGGTTCCAAACCTTTCTTCAACATAGGTGAAAAGGAGCGAGGCAGTAGATGGAAGAGATCAAACACGGAATAAGAAAGTCACTACGTTACCTTACCCGAGCCGTGTATTATAAGTGATCCGAACTCGCTCCGAGCCGAGCCTCCCATAGAGGCAAGTGAAGTTGGTGAGCCGTATGATGGGCAACTATCTCCTGCGGTTCGGAGAGGACTCAGCTGTTAGTTAGTACCCCCTTGGTTTCAGGGTGGACTCTTTCACTCTATTTTATTATATACGCTTAGCGAAAAGAATGTTTTTTGATACACCTAGGACATGGATTCTATATGAACCAATGGATCGTAACAAGTCGTTACTACTAGCAATGACTTCTTCTTTCATTACTTCATCCTTTCTATATCCCTCTCCCTTGTTCTCAGTTACTCATCAAATGGCACTCAGTTCATATCTTTAAGTTCGATCATTGACAAGGTTCAAAGAAAGGGGTGGAAAAGTGACGATTAGTAGGTCTCTAGTTCCAACGCTATGGAGGTTCAACTCCTCCTTAATCACTATCAGATCAATGAAAGTGCGAGGTCGTTATCTACTAAGAAAGGTTTTTTTTCTAAAGCCAGCTAGTTCACTGTCTTGTCTTAAATCAAAGCATCTCCCTAAAGCCATTGTCTACGGGCTTCATACCATACCGCTCAGGAGGGTGACACACCGCCTAATTGTTCTTCCGCTTGCTATCTTCGGGAAGATAGCAAACTATGATTATGATCGAGGTAGTGACCGAATGACCCAATGTATATGCTGTCCTTAGGTTAACAGTGGATAGAATCGTTTGTTTGAAAGAATAAGCTGCAAGGCAAGAATAGGTTGTTTTCATCAATAGTAGAAGGAATATGCCCAGAAGGAGCTGTCCTGGTCCTGTTAGTACAAATAGGCTGTTAGCCAGAATAGGGTAACCACAGACAGAGAACAAGCTGGGGAAGGCGACGGTTTTGAATCCACATGGGTAAAAAGGAAGGCAAGGCAAGGAACTTCTGCCCATGAGATTAGTGCCCTTTCTCTTCGTAGTCCATCCGTCTCATCTCGTTTGCAAGACTAGGCTGTTAGAATGCCCTGTTAGTGGAAGGTTTGACACATCTATTATCTTGCCTTAAGAGGTGTGAATTCCTCTCTTTGTTTATCGCCGATTCCTTGAGTGCAGCCAAAAGAAGTGCTGTTGGTTCGCCTTAGTCCCTTGTTGTCGGAATAACCCCTATTCTAGAATCCACTGTGGCACTTTCGGAAGATGTTAGCACGAAGGTTTTCAGGACTTGAATCAGAAGCATGGAATGCAAGCTCTTCGGGATTAACCTGATTGCCCAGGAGTTAACGAGAATACGGTCTTAGGTGCGAAAGGCGGTGTTCGAGAATCCGATTTGTGTTGATTGCGCATAGCCCTTACTATTAAAGTTATCCCACTAGTCAAAGCATCTAGATCGATTCCTAACAGTTTGCACATGGGTAAGCCCAGGAACTGATTAACCACGGTCTTACAGAATGCCCTCTTTGCAATACAATAATAGGCTGTTCCTCCACCATATGTTGAGGGGTACGAAGGCTGCGTCATTTATGGACGGTATCTCAGATACAACCAAAGACGGTTGGCCGAGAAAGACCAAAATCAGACTTCCTTCATCACGGGGTGGGGAACCTTCTGTTAGTTGGTCATGCCATTCGGCTCGGCCTAAAGAATGCCGGAGCAACCTACCAGAGGGCTATGACGGCCATCTTCCATGAGATGATGCATACATATGACTATGTGGATGACATAGTAGTAGTCAAGTCCAAGACAAAGACGAGAGCGATTTCGAACTTCAGTAGGCATGACTTTCCTTTCATGAGTGAGTTGATCCTTCCTTCCGTAGCTCCAGGTGGCTAGGAATTGTCGCTTATGGCCCGAACAGGCGCCTCTGCCACCCAATTCCTCATTTAACCCCAAGAGAGAGGCCTAATCCATCGCTTTTGGGCATAAAAAAAAGGCTGATCGTTCATTTCCCAGGCCTCGGGGATCGCTCCTTTCGGGCCATTGGCCAGGTACTAAATCAGCAACTACCTACGGAATCTTTCAGAGGAAGAGTAAGAAGGTACTGAGAACTCAAGTTACGGAATGCTTGATGAGGAAAAGAAAGATCCGTCCCTTCTAGCCGAAGAAGTAGTATCCCTCGCTAGAACCCACGCCCTCACTCCCTGGCCTTTCATCATGAGGACTAGTCTTGCTTTTGTGCCTGGCTCGCATTCGACTGGATAGCTACTGGCTTTGAACCGGATTGCTACTCCTTCGCTTGGAAGACCTACTCCTACTGGCTGAATGGCATTCCTACTGTCACTAACGGACTCAAAGCATGACTTCTTAGCTGGCTTACGGGTGTAGTAAGATCTCTCTATAATACGAGATTCCCTCCCCCGAGAGTCAGGAGCTACCTTGAAATCTCCCACTCCTACTACTCCTGATACAATCTTGCTTGGCTTACTTGCTTGATTGAAAGATCCCGTTGGACAGCTACTATGAAGAAAAGGATTGTCTCTATTGAACCTAGCCTTACGAAATATCTTTATCATAAAGATATTGATCTCTGAACTAGAAAGCATAAACCAAAGGCAAGAGAGGGCATAGTTCGAGTAGAGCTAATAGTTCCTGAACAGCCTCGTTATTCATCCTAGCCGGGCCGGGTTAGAGCTATACAAAGGTAATAGCATGTTTCAATGCTATCTCCCTTTGCTGCTAAATAGAAGATTTTTGGGGGGAGGATCTACTAAATGGAATGGACCAAGGAAGCACTGTCGGGTCGATCGATAGCCGAGCATCCGTCGACAAAAAGATCACCCTAAGATGATCATCTCATGGCTATTGAGAACGAATCAAATCAGATGGTTCTATTTATCAATCTTTCTGACTTGCTCCTACGGAACCAAGAGGTCGAAAAGATTGAGAAAAATCGGTCATTCACAACCACTGATGAAGGATTTCTCGAAAAGTTAAGGATTAGTAACGAGCTCCTCCGTCTCAGTCTTTGCAGGGCTTGGTAAGCGGTCAATAGCAACTGCCTTTGGCAGGTTCTAACCGGTGTAGGTAAGTCAGGTATATGAAGAGGTGCCCTCCCAAAAGCATGGGAATCCGGTATTCTAGTAGATAGGAAGAAAGGAGGTTCGATACAGATCGTATTGTCATCTATCTATCGAATTAGGACGTCTTCTTGTATTAAGAGTTAGCGGCGTGGAAACAAGTCTGCTGCGAGCTGTGAGTCCTAATTGAGAGTCCATTCTCGAGGAATAAGGACTTTCGCAGGAAAAGCAGCCTAAGCCCCAGTCGATCGATCAAGCAATACCCATCTCGATGAAAAAAAAGTGACCAGTTTCTTTTCGATTGGCTTGGTCTTCAGAAAGATGAATGACAACTTCAGCCTTCCCTCTCGTCGGACGAAGCTTCCCAAAGTAAGCTCTTAGCATTGGTTGAAGTCAAAGACTAGATTAGGTACCACTTTCGATTATCGTATAAGGAAGTCCTTCCCTATTGGTCAAGCTACTTACGCTCCTAGCAAAGATCACTTTCCGAGAGTATGTAAGAGGGATCGGCCATAGCCACTTCTGTCACCAAGCATGAAGAATAAAAGCGGCGTACAGACGGATTCTTGCACTAATGGCGGGAGAGATTGATTAAGGAGCTTGCCCCGGGAGGCTCTTTCTCTTACGAAGGAGTGAATGAAGCATCGATAGGCCCTGCCAGCCATAGTTGCGAGCAAGGAAAGAGAAGAGAATTGCCTAGTGAAGGTTCAAGGACCTTCTTACTACAAGGCCCTAAAAGACGTCTATAATCGTAGTTTCTAGGGTAGCTTCTATGAGGTGATAAGATAGATCGGAAGAGGACAAGAGAAAAGAGTTCAAAGCAACACCAGGGAAAAAAGCTTAGACTGAAAATTGGACTAGATTGGAGAATAGATTCATTTCACCGAGACTTCGATCAGTTCCTTACCGGTACTTGACACAAGACAGACCAGCAGAGACAAGACTTGAACCTGCATGCCCTAGTTTTAAGGGCAGAAAGAAACTATTCCTATCTTCCCCTATCCATGCAATGTAACCCATATCGATTGACCGATCATGTGTTTTCTTCTTATACAACCCTGGATCCAATACAAAGAACATCTACTTACAGCCAAACTAAGAATGGATTCGATACTCACTGCTTTCCCGGATTCGCTAAGCAACTGAAAGAAATGCTCTAGTCAATCTCTCCTAAGCCGGGACGCAGCTCCATTGCCTTTGATAAAGCCCTTCTTTTGTCTTCCTTCTTTTTTTAGCTTGCTACCGAGGTCCTAGGCCAGGGTCTTAATACACAGGGCTCGAAAACGAACTTTTTCTAGTTCGGATAATAAAGTTGAATATGGTGCAATGAAACCATGTTCATCATGGGTCTGCCAAAGCTTGCTGCAAATGAGGCTGGACCAATCGATGGAGTGCCATAGAAGATGCCTTAGAACGAACAAGACACCGGCGATCATACGGGACTACTATCCTTCCCTTTCAGGTAATAGGACTCAACCATTTTCAACATAGACCCTACTTCCACTCAGAATCTATCTACAAGTAAGGAGAGGGGATTGAAGGTAAGAGGGGTTTTTCCGAAGGAGATCGATCCGGGCGAAAGAGGCCAGATTCAATTCAACCTCAACTGGACCAGGATTGAAAGATATCCCTTCTTATGACTATATGAAAAAATGAATAGGAAATCCCGCGGGAAGGCATGCAGCACCCGAACCCGAAACCCCTGATTGTAAGGGAGATAGAATCCTCCCCCGCTGGGCGTACCCCTGAGGGTGAGCTTTCTTTCGTGAGGGAAGAAATTACCGGATAGAAGAAGTTGGAATGGTTACAGAACAGTCCCGGCTCTATTCGACCTTTTCTTTCTTTTTTGCTCATAGACGAGTGGGCCGAATCCGACCGAAGAAAGTCAAGCGTCAAAGAAAGTGCCTGGAGCGCTAGCCACTGGGATTCAATTCCATTTCCATCGCTTTTTATCATCCGACATCGATCCCGGCTTCCTTGACAAAGCAATGTGAGCAACGTGCTGAGATAGATCTATAGGTTTGCCAGGGTAGCACTCCCAATGTGAGGAAAGAACACAAGACCATACAGATGGCATCGCGAATCCCGTACCAATGTAGACTAGACTGGACACCACATCTTGATCAGTTCGTTACTGCGGAGCGAACCAAATCCTTTTTATTTGGAGTGTCCTGAAGTTTGGATATTAGGTTGGTGATTCGATTCCGAGTTACCCTATTTATTTTGATCAGCATTCCCATAACGATAGGAAAGCCGCCCTCTTTCTCATTGGAGTAGGAAGAGATAGGGCATCAACAAAGACATCCGTAGAATCTTTTACATAAATCAACAAGAGAATGAGCTAAAGCAAAAGCTGAGGCTAGAATAGTAGGGGATGGTGGAAAGGTTACTCTTTCGCAATTCAGAAAGCTGTTCTAAGCCCCTTCCAACCCCCGGATCAAGGGACTACTTGCCCGAGGAGCCTTGCCCATTTTCCAATTTTTCATCACCTTGGCCAATCCATTAATTCGGCAGAGAAGGAGCGGCTGCCACGAAGGGCTGCAGCGTTGGATTACTTTATTAATTTCCGATGAGGTCATCCAAGCTTTGAAGGAGGTAGGACTCTTTTATGCTTTTGATCTCTGTAAAGTTAGGCTCGACTGGGAGCTTCTGGAAGCAGCTGTAGAGTGTTGGGATCCTGATCTCAATCTTTTTTTTAATTTAATTGGCATAAGCTCGCACCCTCTTTGGAAGAAGTGTATCGTCTTTCTGGTCTTCTTCATATAGGTGAACTTGGTATCGTCGTGCCTCGTTCTGGCTACACTTCTCTGCTTCGTGATTCGCTGGGCCTACGCCAGGATGAGCTCAAGCTTGGTTATGCAGGAGGGGATCCGACTCGCTTATTTACCAAGATTTTTAATTGACAGGTTCTCACATGACCGCGCTTCAGTTTCGACTCCAAGATTTACCCACTGCGTTTGCTTGCGGAAATCTTTATTGGTGTCGATATCAGAGCCATTGACCTGGTTGTGACGGGAATCTTTAGCTGTCTGCGCTCAAAGGATAAAACCACAATTGTACCTTTGATCCTAGCTGAGATGTATAAAGGGCTCTCTGATTGTGCTCGTGGGATAACCAATATTCTATTCTTCATGGACCATGTGCCATCTTGCAATTGTGGCTGCTATGTCATTTGAAGATAATTGCCCCTATATGACGTGGTGGCACAACTAAAGAAGATCCCTCCTATCTTGATCAAAAGTGCTCATGATCTCATGTTCCATTTTAGTAGAGGTGATTTCCTTTCGACTCTAACACATATCCGAACAGGTCGGGTACAATATACCTTTTTTACCAAACATTGGTAAAGAAGACCAATACCCCTGTCAGTTAGGGCCGGTTGGCCTATAATCTTTCTTTCTTATCTGTTTACGTCGACTATTCACGAACTCTTGCCAGAGCCTTCAATTCAGAAGTTGTATCAATTTAGAAAACATAGTCTAGTCATACGTCTATGCCCCTTGTAATTCATTCTTATACTCATCCGGTTTCGCATCTACATCTTGAGAATCCAATGGCTTCCACGCAGTATTCTTTGTCTTCAACGGATTTAGATTCCAACTTTTGTCTTCGGATTCCCATCTAGGTTAGATCATGCACTTCTAGCATTTGACCCACACTTAACGTGACTTTGGCTAATATCAAGTACAAACAATACATCCGAGATATATTTGATACACTGTTGAAGTCTCAACATCAATAACTCCTCGCCTTTGACATCAACCAAGTCTTCATTCCCAATCTTCACTTTGGACTTGTATGACTGATCCAACTCCATGAAATTGCTTAATTCAGAGTTATATGGTTTAGTGCGACCACCGTCAATAAGCCAAGTTTTCGTATAGTTGTTTGTTGCATGACTCGTAGCTACAAACAATCGCTCATGTTGTCTGCTGCGTTTCGACCATTTGTGCTTGTCGTCCCCGTCGCCCTTGTTGATCTTTTTTATTCTTGCATACCTTCTCTACATGGCCAAATTGCTTGCACGATCTGCATTGCACACCGTGCCTAAACCAATAATAATTCTCTCGAATGACTCTTCCTCTTCGCAATGAGGACATGGTGGATACCTCCTTTTGCCACCACTTCTACTTCCTTGGCCCTCATTCTTCTCCTTCTCTTTGTTCTCACCCAACTCGCTTCTTCTCTCCCTTCGAGGAGCTTTTCCTTTTGCTTTGCAAGAAAAGCCTTTTCACTATTGTCTTCCTCTCTCATTGATCTTCTTTGTTCTTAAGCTTGAAAAGCATGAACAAGCTCGCCAAGGAAATCTTGGTTAAATCCTTCGAGTCTTCAAGAGAAGAGATCTTAGACTCAAATCTTTCGTGCAAGCTTACGAGAACTTTCTCTACAACCCTTTGGTCTGTTAAATCCTCACCAAGAAGCTCGATTTTGTTAACAACTTCCATGAGCCTATCTACGTATTCTTTGATGGACTCATTATCTTTCATCCTCAAGACTTCAAATTCCCTCTTCAAATTCAGAATCTGCATTTGCCTTGTTCTGTCACTCCCCATATACATCTCCTTGAGCTTGTCCCAAGCCTCTTTTGGTGTTTCACAAGCCATAATCCTTGTGAAAATTGATTCGACACGACGAAGATGAATGTAAGATAAAGCTCTTGGAGCTTTAGCTTCTTCTTCTTCATGAGCCCCGATTTGATTAAGAGTAGGATTGTTTCCCAAATGAGGTATTTGTTTTTCAGTTTCAACCCATTGCCACAAACCAAGACCTCTCAAGTGAGCTCTCATTTTGACATCCCAAACTTGATAGTTGTCACCATTGAAAACCGAGGGTGAAAGAGGCATTATGTTGCTTGGAAGCCATGAGAGTTTAAGGTTTGAGTTTTTTAAGGTTTTTTGGAGAGGAATCCTTGCTCGGTGTTCTCTCTTAATCACTCACAGGACCTTTAAGATCTTTATAAGCTCCGATACCATGTAAACAATATCAGTTCATGGGCAAGATAAGAAGAAAAAGAAGTTACGGAGAAGGAAACGTAAAACAGAGCATGGAAGCCAAAAACGAGTATCACACTTTGATATTCTGGTACAAATATATACATGGTACCGTAGCACATATATTATTGTAGCAATACCAACCCAGACTTACAAAAGTATTTCAAAACAAAATCTCACAAAATAAGGAGCTTCACTCCTTTTAAACTAATCAAGGATTACAAAATGATAATTAAAGTATCTAAAAAATTCTCGCATTCTAACAGCTTCAACAATCTTCATAGCTAATAAGCCAACCGCCCAATGGCTTATCATCCTCCGCAAAATACTACCAACAACTTATACTATGATTTATTTTTTCCTAGAATTATTATTTCATTTCTTCTATAGTTGGTTGCATCCGTGTTGGTCCGTGATTTATGTCAAGTCGCACCTTTCATCTTTCTACAAAGAAATTAAAACTTTTAACATTCATGGAACAAAAGATAGCCACTTTGATCAAACATGAAAGTTGAGACATCAAAACGTGATTTGCATTTGGATCGCAGTGAGCTTGAGACTAAGTGCCGTGCTAATGTGGAACCATTTAAGATTGGATCCTACGTTTGACATTTATAAAAAACATGTTGCCATGTAACTTTTTTATGACCGATCATAGTCTAGGCCATTGTTTTTGGACAAGGTATTTAGGTCTTAAAGGCTATGATTGCAAAGTGATCTTTTTAGTTATTTTTCTTTATGGAATATGGATAGCTTTGTCTCGTCATTTTCATGATTTTTCGTCTATCAAACAACAATTAGATGTAGAATATGCTAAACTTTGAGATCAAGCTTCTGATATTAATTGAAAAAGTAAGCTACAAACACGACTCTATATTATGATGGTCATATTCTATCCCTAGCTTGCTTTGGGACTAGCGGGATACCACGATCAAATCCAGAGTGATCTGGACTATAGCAGGATACTACTTTACGGAGATCATCAGTACTTCTACGAGGTTTTTTCCTTAGGTAAATCAGCGTAATCCCGAGCTTCTTTCACCCCCGAAAAAGGATTTCCATTCTCCTTATCAGTAGTAGGCTTGAATTGAAAACAGCTTGTATTCGATGCCTACTCTTTATATATGTCACTTCCGTCCCCCAATCCCCTTCCCTCAGGAGTGAAGTTGCTTTCCTTGGGTCAAATGTGGCATTTCTTCTATTATACGATACCGTAGAAATGGAAATGGGAAGGAAGGATTCATGGATGCACAGAATATTCTGGGGAAGAAGCTCTTTGGCTGTTGTGCTAGAATCAGATGTGGTTGAGCTAGTGGGATAGATTGACTATTCATATTTATCTTCCTATAAGGGAAAAAAGGAAGGGAATGGACCTTCTCAATCCAAGACTTTCGGGCAATCAATTGACTTATTAAAGGAGCTTTTAAGCCCCTCGCGAGTAAATAGTCTTTACCACTACTACCTGCTAACTCCTCGCCTAATCCCTCTGGAAATTTGCCCGACTAAGGCCTCAGCCAGAACCCCAGACGGAGAGAAGAAGCTCTTCCCTTTGAACGAATCTTGCTCTCTTATCTGCTTCTTCTTTTGTTGGCAATTCTTCTGTTGTCGGAATACCCGGTCTTGTCGGAAGGGAAGAGAGAAAAAGAAAATCGGATGTGGTAGCTGTTGGGAAGGCAGGACGAGAACTATAGTATAGGACGGGAACTAGAGTGCTCTAATTGCTCCTTCTCCGGTTGAAACCACTGTTGCCTGATCCGGAACCAGCTCTAGCTACTGTTCCATCTCCTGCACCGTTCTGCGCCTTTTTGAATTTGAATGAAAGGCCTAGCTTTGATGCTTTCTTCTTACCCACGCGAGATTGTTACCTAGGTGAGAGCTCTGCGTCCGTCTTGGACTGAGGGGCGATAGCGAAGTCTGGGGCCTAATACACTTTTTTTTTAAGTGCAAGTCCTGCCCTTATATGCCTATCCCCTACAAACCTAAGCGGCCCACCTGAGCCTTGAAAGCAAGAACTGTACGAGCCGAACGGACGAAACAAGCGAGTCCTACTTTGACTGCCTTGTCTACCCACCCACTACACAGGCCTGAGTTAGGTACAAAGGCACTCACTTTTAAGCATATCGAGGCTAATGTAAATTATACTTTGTGTTCCGTGACTTCCTTCTCTCTTCCTTCCCCTACGGAGGAAGGTCGTCGCACTTACGGACGGACTTTCCCCTCGCGCCCGGTCGTTATTGCCTCGCCTTCGTCTCTTTCGACGACCTGGCTTACCTAATAACCTATTCTCCGATCGGATTTTTAGTTAATTTTATTAAATTCGTATTATTAATCTCGGCATTAGTCCTTTATAGTTTATGTGGTTGATGTACCCTCACCACTAATAGGAAAGGTCAAAGATCGGGTGCATACGAATCAAGCACATCTCGTTGGTTGAGTAATAAGGAGGCAGTACATTCGATGACAAGCATTCTAGAGGTGCCTATAAGGAAGTGGAAAACTCTAGTGACGCAAGTCAAGTAAGGTCTCTTCGTGGAAGGAAGAATGGATGGTACCTGGCAACTGCACTCCGTTCGAGTCTAGGCTATGGAGAAAACTAGTGCTACAAAGGAACGACTAAGCAAACTTAACCCTCTTCAATGCAAGGCGATAGTCCTACCTTCGATGGCCGAACCCGGTTGTCTTTCTTAACCGATCGAGTGTGTCACCTACTAGCAATGGAATATGCTTCACTCGCTCCCACCTTACTAAGCCGCTATCGGTGCAGGATCGAGCCTCGGAAGATTCCCGTGTGTGTTGAAATCGCTCAACTCAACAAAGGCAGGAAAGTGCGGGAAGAGAGATTTTCTCTAAAAAGTAGGGTTGGTTTTTCGACAGGGAACTTGATGGTCCCTGCGTAGTACCCGTAGCTTATCCTCTATTTGTGACTTCGATGCTGTCATACATCGTAGGTCTACTTGCCCGCCCGAAAATGCTTTCAATTTGTCTTTTAGACGTCAACTTCATTTGCTCTTGCCTTGTTAATGGACGAGGAAGTGACATGACATATAAAGAATAGGAATCGGTTGTTAAGGACCTTCTTGCCCTAAGGCTTATGGAAATTAATGCTTTCAAGCGCTAGGCCAGGCCGAGATCAAATGTCATCTTAGTCAGATCCCACGAGCAGATGTTCTCGAATAGGCAGGCCGCGAGGCAACCATGGAATCCGCCTTCCCTGATTCCGATCCTGTTGATGTTTTGTCGGCATTAAGGCTGCTAGTGAAAGGAACTCACGATCTTGGCTTAGATGGTTTTGCTCCTGGGAACATCATTTTTCGATAGTAAAGGTACCCGAAGTTTCATGAACAGACCATTCTCAACATTCGCCGGAAAGATCCGAATAGAAGGAAAAGAAAAGTGGGACAAAATTCCCGGTATGAATAAATATAAGTAACTAGCCATCCTTCTTTATTAAGTTAAGGCCCAAATAAATGCTGCCATATCTGATTTCCGACATTAAAGCATCTAATAGAAATGTACGAGGAGGAATCGAATGCGCTCTTTTGAGACAGCTTTCAATAGAACATAGAGCTCTGCCCTTCTGGCTGTCCTAACGAGGAAAGTCACTTCGTACCTTAAGACCTTAAACGGAAGAGTTAATCGTAGAGCAGGAAGAATTCTTGCTTTCTTTCTGTCCGCTAGTCAGGAATGGAATCGGACGCTACGAATACGAATTATTGAATGGGGGAATTTTCTAATAATTATTAGACAAATAGGACACTAGAACGCAATTCTTCCTCCTTCCCCTTTTTCGACAGGGAATTCCAATTCGATAGATGATTGAAGGCAATTCATCCCAGGAGGAGGATTCCCACGGACTAAAAACTGTTAGATTCTTTTTCGGAAGAGCTGCTGTTCTCCTAGGCTCCGGCGGAGCCCATTCCAATATGAACACTGGTCGGTGAATATTCTTACTGCCCGGTGCCCACCCTGACCTAAGCTTTAGGGAGACCTAAAGTCATTGGGATTAGAGGCTGATTTTGCCAATCACTACTACTCTGCTCTGGAACGCCGGAATTGAAAGCCGATGATCCACGGCATATGCATCTGATTCTGGTGAAGCTACAAGCCTCTTTATAGATAGGTCAGGCCTCCAACCAAGTCTAAGTGCTCCTATCTGTTCCTATTCTCTTTCCCTGAGGAGCCTCAGAGTGAGGGTGAGGGCTTAGTCCAGATTCAGCAGTGGTTTTGCTTTGCCAACTTGATTCTATTCCAATCTTGTCCCTTCCTACCTATCTATGGCTATGGTATGGGTCTTCTTTTGCCTCTTCTATTATCTTGGGATGGGAAAAACCTGATTATGGGTAAAAAAGGGGTGGGGCGGCAAGACCCGAGGAAACTACAATATACCTCGATTGAAAAACGGAAACAGTTCCACGGCGGGAGAGGTTGCATTCGATATTGATTCAGATCCGTTCTCTATACCGCAGGCTCCGAGGCACCAGACGCAGACGCTTAAGGAAGGCGCTCCGGGAAAAGGAAAGATCTTGACTTGATTTGCCGACAACTACTCTCTAGTTACGTCGGGTTCTCCTATGCTACCAATGGGCCCAAAAGGAGACGGGACCAAAAGGCACCATTTGCTTAAGCGAAAGCATCAACCTATTAGTATAACACTTCTGATTGAGTGGCAGAAAGAAAAAGTCTTCTATTCTATATAAAGCAGGCTTTCCTGGGAGCTTCTTAAGGCAAGGAAGTAGCTATTAGGACATTTGATTGAATAGTTGACCCAGCTCCTTGTTGTTTGAAGAAACCCTCCATGGTATTTTTTCACGAAAAGCAAACATGAGATAACAAATCCAGTCTTTCACTAAGATTTCGAATAGCTGTCCCGAATTCAAGTTGATTATGTTTCGCCCCTTCCTCGGAGAAAGACGATCAAACAATTCCCAATCATGGTCCTTGCGGATCGGATCATCCATATAATATACAAAAAGAAACTCCAGATATTTGATATCTTTCTCTTTGAATGAGATCTCAATTCCAGCGACGGTTTCATTAGATATCTTACAACTAGAATCCCTCTTTTTTCCGATCCAGTTCCTCCACCACCGCGAACCCCAGTTAGATTCAGACATGATACACTTTTTAGTTATTGGGAGAACCCAAGTACTCTCTTTCGGATCCAGGAAACGGCTCTCAGAGATCTTTTTACCTTTTTACATGGCGAGGCAGTTTTGTCTGGCAGTCCTTAGGCCGAGAAATGGTAATAGCAAAGGATTCCAGTCTATTCCCCCTTCTATCTGAGTCGGATCCCCCTCACTGAACTAATTCATGTAGCGAATCCAAAAAATGATGATGTCAGCCTATTCTTGCTTTCCCGTCCCTTTATCTATTCCTTTGCATTGTCCGAGTCTTCTTTCATTCCCGCTAGTACCATTGAAGCAGGAGTCTTTTAAGCCAGGATAAAAAAAAGATGAATGGTAATAGATCTAGGAATAAGGTGTTATGTATTCATGATCAGGAGGGGAATAGGCTTGAGGGAGAGCAAGCTGTCCACCTCTTGACCAAATCTGTAACCTTCATTAGCGGATTCATTTTCTGTGGTTTCCCTGATCAAACTAGAGGTTACCAAAGAACCATGCATAGCACTGAATAGGGAGCCGCCGAATACACCAGCTACGCCTAACATGTGAAATGGGTGCATAAGGATGTTGTGCTCAGCCTGGAATACAATCATAAAGTTAAAAGTACCAGAGATTCCTAGAGGCATCCCATCCGAAAAACTTCCTTGACCGATTGGATAGATCAAGAAAACAGCAGTAGCCGCCGCAACAGGAGCTGAATATGCAACAGCAA